GGTCTCATGCACCAACGGCATCCTCACAAAATGGGAAAGATCTCACCAGCTCTCAGAAAGGACTTCCGACTACTTTCTGTCAAAAGACACTCAGCTCCACACCACACCACAGCGGGTTGTTGACCAGCGCAGGCCAATTATAAAAATTAACTACACTCCTTAGCGTCGATTGGGTAAGATCAGAGATGAAATGGAGGAGATGCTAAAATCTGAAGGAGGAAAAGTTGGAGAACCCCGGGTCACTGAAACTCTTTATTCAATACAATCACTAAAAATTATACCTAATGATGAAAGAGATGACTAAAAAAACAGGAGGTCTTCAATGATTTTGAAAAAGAGAAAAGGATACTCAGAATGGAATTCCCAAAAGTCCTTTCAGAGTTTGACCACATGAACCCAAATAGAAGATAAATTATACTAAAATAGAATAATTTTAAAAAGCCAGTATCTCTGTTCCTGCCGGATGAAAGTTCGCCACATCTAGGCAATCTCACACATATCAAACTGCACTCTGGCCATCTCCCTGGAGTGCTACTACTGGGTATAATCTTCCTTCAACCAGAACCCAGAGTTCCAGCTCCTACCCAAAGGCCTTGAACTCCTAACTGGTGAGAGTTCATTACATCTCAGCATCTTCAGGCCTACCATAATTCATTCTGGCCATCTCCCTGTCAGACCACCATGCACAAACCACTCCCCAGTCCCCATTTAAAACATACCACCCCCAAGATAATGCCGAGAACAACTAACATAAAATGTTGCATTTTTGAGGGAGATAGTTTAAAGGCTCAGACTGGCCTTAATCTATTAGCATCTCTCCTAAATAGAACTTAGCATGGCTTCCAAATGGAAGGAATTGAGCTATTAATCACGGGATGGATAGAGATGACATCAGACTATGTGGCTCCACCAAAAACAGATTAAACAGCTTTTCTGTCTACTGAAATCTCTCTCTAATGATATCAAAACATTGTTTGGACTTCATAAGTGTAAAAATTCTGAACTTATGCCAAGGAAAGGTAAGAGACTGAAGGCTTGAATCTTATCTGGAGGTCACAGTGAACCAATGGATGAAGGTGATACCTACAAATACCTTGTGTCTCTTTCAGGCAAAACACATCAAGAATAAAGCTATCGAGAAGACTGTGGGTGAACATATTAGGAGACTTACTGGCATCCTGAAATCAAAGCTGAATGAGATGAACACATTTAAAGCAATTCACATCTACGTATGATCAGTCTTCATGTAAAGCTTTGGAATTTTATGATGGACCTGGAACATATCATAACAAAAACTCACATAATATTAACAAAATATAAGGTACATCACCCTAAGGCAGATACACAAAAGATTAATATTTCTGCTTCTAAAAAGGAGGAAAATGATTGAAAGGCATTCATGGAGTAAGAGGAGCTCATTTTGTTCTGGTACCAAAAGTGGAAAAGACACCCAGAACAAGTCGGAAATACCAAATAAATTACCTGCTGGAAATTCTTCGGAGCAGAGCAAAAACCCACAATTATGAGGTAAAAAAAACAACAACAAAACCTACAGAAATACTTTTGGAACAAGCAGATAGCACTTTACAAGGCAAACAATAAAGGATGATAACAGTTATATACCACCGGATTTGTCAAATATAACTGAAAGTAGCTTACCTCTCAAAACAGCCTATGAAACCACTGAGATCCACAATCGGAATTAAAAAGCCCATGAGTGACATCTACATGAACTCAGCCAGCACTACGCTGACAAAGAAATATCGAACAAATGGCTGAATCAGGCAGGTTTGTTTATGGAAACAGAGAGGGTTATGACAGCAATTTAGGACTCAGTCACTGCCATTACATCCTACAGAAGGATGATCCTCAAGGAGCCCAGACTCCATGATTGATTTTAAAAAATTATTCTGAACTCAATCAACAACTCCATATACACAGCAGAAGGAAAAAAGAGTATTGCATAGGAAATCACAAATTTCCACCACATGCAAGGTTTGGTCAATGTAAATTATGCAAGGAAAGGGTGGAAACAGTACCACACATCACTGCAGACTGTGAAAAATTTAGGACCTACTGGATACTTAAGAAAAGTTGGCCTGGTAGCTAGAATTATACATCAGAAGCTGACTATATTTCATGGATTGAGAGATTTTTAAAAATCCCCATTCTACAAACTCACACCTCAAAATATCAGCTGAAGATATCAATAAAACAATAAACCGACCAATAGACTGTACTGGGACCAACCCATTACCACAAATTAAACTCTTGTCCACAATCGGTCAGACACAACACTGACTCAGAAAAATTTATGAACAATGTTTTTCAACAGATGATGCCATCTTAAATATGCACAATCTCCAAAGAGATCAAAACCATGTGGGCACAGCCTGAGGTTTGTCTCAACCCATCCTTCTGTGGGCTATTGGAGTTGTACAGCGGATGCTCACAGTGAGCCTACAGAAGATGAGCGTTGATCCCAACAACAGCCCAGTCTTATGAATGAAGCTCTTCCTGACCCCTAGTCGCCAGCGCTCTCCCTCTTAAACCACTTTGGGTTTCTTTAACTATCTACTATACAGTGGTATTTAATCACTTCACACTGATGCTGTATCTATTTATATGCGTGCTCTTCTCCCCCATTACAATGGAAGCTTCTTGTGAAGAGGGACCATTTTGTTTTTTACCCTTTTATCTTCAGGGCCAAGCACAGAGCAGATGTACAATAAACATCTGCCTTTTCGGCAGCTTGAGAGGTGGTGTGGCCTCAAAACCAGGACAACCTGGGCTCAAGGGCAAGTCATTTCACCTCCCTCAGTGCTTTGTGTTTCAGAGAAGGCGCCAGCCTGCACTGGGAGGGTCCATGAAATCACAGGGCCAGCTTAACTCCAACCGGTCAATTGTGCTCTTGATCGTGGGCCTAGGACGTCTCTAGGACGCACCTGCATGGCTTCTGGCAAACCACAAGGGCCTCCCTGCTTTGCATGCCAAGCTAAAACACCAAGCTTGTGACAACAGCCCCAGAGGGAACCATGCAACTGGAAAGAATCAACAACAACAAAAATCCCAAAATCACTGATGCAGAAGGAACATAACTGCAGAAAGTCCCCAGTACATATGGACACTTAATTCTTCCAATCTTCCTCAATATCTCTTTTCAAAGTGTCAACAGAATGTGTGGGTTTCCCCGACCGTCCTTCCCGGCCAACCCCGGGCTCAGCAGACTGTGCCATGGCCATCCCCAACAGCTGCTGGGATGCACCTTCAAATGTGTGGCTGCAAAATGCAAATCTATTTGTGCTGCAAAATCCAGATTATTTACATAGTCCGAGACATCCCTGAGCTGAGTTGATCCTTTCAAAGGCAGCCTATTGGTAGAAACAGACTTTTAATCATGGGCAGGGATGATACAGAGGAGCAAATGAGCAGAATTCCTAAACTCTGTATGAAAAGAGCTAATATGTTATCGTGTATAAATTGCCCCATGTCATTAGGCCAACATTCAAAGGGCCTGGCTCCAAGGGAAAGGAAGGGTAGAGAGGGTTTAAGAAATGACTGAGAGAAAGAAAAGGAAAAATCTAATAACCACAGAAGAAAATAACGTGAGCATCTATGACAAGCCAGTTAAGTAGAGCTGACCGCTTAACATTTCCTACCTTCTAGTAATCACATCCAGTGTCTGGCACACCGTGGAACTTTGATTCAGAAATGTCAGCCCTGGTTTGCCCTGGCTTGATGGGATCTGGGAACACCAGAAGGGTTCCTCAGCCCACGAATGAAAAGGGGCCAGTTAGCGGCTTGCTACCAGAGTAGAATTAGAGTAGAATCATGCTTCTATCTCATGACTGTGAATCAGATCCCAGTGACCAGCCAGTTCCGGGTAAACCTAAAAGATAACTAGCCCAACAAGGTCACAACATGGAGAGACTGGTATGACACATGAAAAGTACGATCCACATCACTCTTCTGGAGACAAAAATCATCGTCTGGAGACGGCGCTCGCAAAAGTCCTCAAGTCTAACTCAAAAATGACCAAGAATCCCCTCTGCCTTCGGGAAGGCCTGCCCTCTTCCCCTCGGCCTCACATAATCCTTCTCTTCCCTCAGGATGCAGTCAGGAACCCTCTTCTACACGATCCCCCCAACTGCTAGAGCGTCCCTTCCCCAGCGAGCTTGTACTTAGCCACACTGCCTATATCTGCACTCATTCATTTGATATTCAGTGTTGTCTATATGTATAGATGTACTTATCGTCTCCCCCATTAAAACAGAAGTTGCCTACATACATATGTATATGGGCATGTATATACATGTATACGTACACACACATGCATATACATGCATGTATGAATAAATATCACATGTGTATGCACATACATATGTATATGTACGTACATATATGCACACACATACATATGTCTACAAAGTTCCCTATATATATACAAAATTTAAGTGAGTAGGGCCTTTCATCATACTTGTACCCTCAGTACCTAGCACAGAACCTTGCACATAGTAGGGGCTTAATAAACGCTTGCTGGATCGAGCATGGTCCCCCACGTCTTCTCTTTTTAAGGCTAAGTGTACCCTGTGCCTCCAACAGATCTCCATGTGGTAGTTCCAATTCCCTGACCAATTGGTCAAGCTCCCACAGATCGCCTACAGTTTGGTGGATTCTATTCTTCCAAATTTGTAGGTGCTCTGGCTTTTTTGTTTTTGTTTTTAAAGATAACATACCCTCATCACTTCATAATTCATCCTCAGGTTGGAGGGACTTTCAGTCCATACTTTAATCACTTTCAAAAGATGCATGGGACAAACCGTATTTAGAGGGGAAAAAAAGCATGCTGGTGGCAACCTGATAAAACAAGTCTCATTGTGTACCTTATAAAATGGCTAGTGGACTCTTCAGAGCATGCACATGGTAAGCAAGGCTTTACTGATGGGAAGCCCGATCACCACCCCTACCTCCCAGCGGCCTCCGTGGTTTGGGCGGCTTACCTCACTGTGGACGTTCCAGCTGTCGACGGTGACGTTGAAGAGGGCCTTGAGGGCCTCGATGGCACAATCCGTCTCCTGCGGGGACAGGGGCGGCCCGTTGTGGTCGATGGCCGCCTCGTACTCGTCAGTCCACTTGATGCTGAAGGCGCTCTCCAGGGCCTGGGTGAGCAGGGGCAGCCCCTGGAGCTCGTAGCGGAGCTGGGTCCTGATGTCGGCGTGCAGGAGGGACAGGAGGAAGAGCAGGCGGAGGTCGAAGCACTTAATGTCGCTGATGACCTGCCGGTCCTTGCACTTCCGCAGCAGGTTACACAGCATGGCGGCCAGGTTGAGTTCCAGGCTGAGCTTCTGGGCCATCTGGCTGTTGAACACTATGTTGCACAGGCATTTCAGCGATTCCACAATGACGGGGAAGTCTGCCGCCTCCTCCAGAGAAGCCTCGGAGTCGTCCAGTTTGGCGAGCCGCATCAGAATCTGCATGTTCTCCTTGGTGGTGACGGGAACGAGAACCTTTTTGTCTCGGGAAAGGATGCGGAGGGCTTCCAGACAGGTAACTTGGCATGACGTCGTGATGTCTTTCTCCAGGACCTTAAATATCCCTTCACAGAGTTTCTGAAAAAAATAAGCGACAGAAAACAAAAACGAAAGCAGAATTTCAGACAGAGGATTTTAAGATATAATTGTAACCTGCTGAAGTTAACACCCACAGCTAAGGGCTCTTGTTGTCTAAGTACCCTGGTCACAAACTTGCTTTCAATTTATTTCAGACCCATTTCTCTTGATTTTAACCCAAGAAGGAAAATGATATGTAAATTAAGTGAGATCAATGAAAAAACACAGCCCCTTGCTTTTCTCCCAAACCTCACCAGGAAAGATGGGCATCTCTTTAGTGACAAATGAAGAATTTGTACACAAATGAAGAATTGTTGCCTCACGGAACACTGAACCAACCAGAGTCTCTTCACCACATTATAACCCATGCCACCCTTACCAGCGGCAGACCTCACGTGGCTCATCAGCCATTCACAACATTGCCGTCATGGAGTAACTTTAACTTATAATGTTGTTCCATTTCATGCCATGTTTCCACGGGCCAGGAACAAAGTTAGGCTGTCTATATCCACAAGGAGACAAAGCTCCCTAAAACTAGAGCTGACAGGGACCTTAGAAATCATCAAAGTCAACCTCTTCTTTTTACAGGAAAGGAAACTGAGGCCCACAGAGGTGACTTATCCAAAGTCACACAGGTAGTAAACATCAAAGTGGGGGATTTGAACCTGGGTCTTCTCATGCCATTGAGAAGTGTTGAACATATTAGTACAGGAAGCAGGATTATTCTTGGCCACCTGAAGAAACTTCCAGAATCAAGGACGCAGAAGCCCTCAGAGGCCCTGGAGTCCAATCCCCTCGTTCTTACAAAGGAGAAATCCAGGGCTCACAAGGTAACACAGATAGTGAGGAGCTTTGACATCAGTGGCATTTTTTAAAAAATCTGTTGTCTACTTTTCTATTATTCATATTTTTGAATGAAACATGGGAGTCCTTTCTTGTTTCTGCTACAGCAGAAAACTATCACCTTGAAAAAGATATGAAAAAGATTTATGTAGGTGAAAATGAAACTCTGTATACTTAACAGCACATCTATTATCTCTTTCTTCTCCAAGTTAAAAATAAATTGCAGGTGCTGTGTCCTCCTTCCCCCCTTCGCTGCCAGGGCCCCCAAGAAAGGAAGACCAGACCAAGGGGCAAAGGCAGGAAGCCTACTGGATGGTGGCTGTCTTGAACAGGATGAAGATACCAGGAAGAGATCAGAGAATCTTCATGACACCCACAAAAGCGATGGTCAAAGGCCAGCCCGATCCCACAGCTCTCACTCAGGAGGTTACCCAGCGATCAAAGGCAGGAGAGGTCTGACCATCTACCAGTAGCTGCTAACACTGTTCTGACTTTAGCACGCAATCTCACAGAATTTACCAAAGTATTTATTCACTTCAGAAGCCCATAGGTTGAGATCTTCCAGTGATGAATTACAAGACAGGAAGAAAACTCAATGGAAGAAACTTTTCAAAAAGTTTCATTTCCAGCCTAATGTTCATAGCAGAGGCTTCTGACCTTTCATTAGCAAAGAGCTACTCTGCTAGACACCTGGAGACTCACCATAAGTTAGGACTAGAGAGAAATGACAATCCATCATGGAGGAGGTCCATTTGGGATGGGGGGTAGGGAAGGAAAAGGGGAAGAGAAGTTCCCACTTTGGAGGGAGTAGTTTCTGGCTACCCTGCTTTCCTGAAACCTAAAATATCATCACCACCATCATCATGACCATCATCATCATCACCATCACTATCATTACCTCATTATCATTACCATCATCACCATCATCTTCAGCGTCGTTGTCATCACCATCATCATCATCACCATTATCACCACTACCATCACCATCACCACCATCATCACCATCACCACCATCATCATCATCACCGCCATCATCTTCAGCAACGTCATCATTATCATCATCACCATCATCACCACACCATCACCATCATCTTCAGCAACGTCATCATCACCACCATCATCATCATCACCACACCATCACCATCATCATCACCATCATCATCATCATCACCATCATCATCATCATCACCATCATCTTCAGCAACGTCATCATCATCATCATCACAGCCTACATTTCTATGGCAGTTACTATGTACGAGGCACTGTGCGAAGCACTTTACAACCATTATCCTATTTGTTCCTCACAGGTAGATGCTACCACCCTCCTAAATTTACAGATGAGGAAACTGAGGCAAACAGAGACTAAGTGACTGGTGCAGGGTCACACAGCTTCTAAGTGTTTGAGGCTAAATTTGAACTCGGGTCTTCCTATCTCCAGGCCTAGGGATCTAACCACTGGGGACAGGCACTAGCCGGCAGTCAACCAGGCCAGACTGCAAGTGACCCATGAAGCTTGATCAACCAGATGGGAAATCCTGGCCTCTAGGACAATGTTCCAAGCTCAGGGTCAGAAGAAGTCTAATAATAATAGTTCCTATCTTGTGATATTTGAGCCTGCTAGGGGCACAGAGCTGGGCCTGGAGTCAGGAAGACCTGAATTCAACCGTTGGCAAGTCACCTAACCTCTGACTGCCTTGGTTTCCCAAGGTTTGTAAAGCACTTTATTGTTGTTGGCTCAATCAAACCTCAAAATAAGCTTGTGAGATAGGTTGCTATTACTATCATTCCCATTTCACAGGTGAAGAAACTGAGGCCAACAGGTTACACTAGTCCAGGGTCACACAGCCAGAGTGTCTGAGGCCCAGGTGTCTAGCTCTACTCCATGGACACTCTCCCACCCAGGAATCTGGGGGGGAGGGAGAAAGGGCAGGGCTCACTCATGTGAGACAAAAGACTACGAACTGTGTGGCAAACCTAACAAGCTTGTACTCCAGGAGTGCAGAGAGGGGGCGGACCGAGCAGAAGAAACGAGAACTGAGGGATGAGGAAGACTGGGACTGGGAGGGGAGGGAGCCAGGGGGATGGAAGGAAGGCGGGCACTTCAGGCAGAGAGAACCCAAGGAAAAGCAGAGCCCAAAGAAGGCAGCTGCCCACGGACTTCCGCGCTTACCTGCATGATAACCCACCAGTTCTGGTCACTTTTAGAGATGGACGCATTCTGTCTACACCCACAGCATACCAATGCGGCTTAGGCGCTCGGGCAACCTCCAGCTTGCTACCAGTTTCTTACTGACAAGTCTAAAGAGTCAGGCAGAAATTGTTGGGTGTCCAACAAAACCTGAGCTGCAGAAAGGATTCTCTCTGGCCTTGAGTCTGGAGAAAGGATTCTTCTCCAACAGAACCTGAGCTGGAGAGAAACTTTTCCATGTCTGTTGGTCTATAAAATGGGCACAATGGTACTTGCGCTACCACAAGGGCTGTGAGAATCACACAAGATGATATAAAGCCCAGATTCCTTTGATTCCCTTCCCTGTGTGCTGACAGAAAGGAAGCTTTATTAACATAAGTAAAACATGACAAGGAAGAAGGGAACCAGCTGTAAATTGCAAACATAAATACACCAACAAAAAAGCCAGTGGTGGTACAGTCAAAGGAGATCAGTGACTTATCAGCTGGGTGACCTCGGGTATATCATTTCCCTCTTTAGGCTTCTGTTTCCTCATCTGAAAAAAACGTGGGCGTGGGCCTGGATGGTCGGCCCAGTGGCTGGCACACGGTGTTTGTCGACTGCGACGGTAACTCCCTCGATCCGATGACTTCTGGAATCTTGGCTGCTCTGACGTGTTCCCTCAGCACCGACAATGGCAGCTGAGCCATGGGAAAAATCCCCACTCATTTGTTTTGCTGTTGAGTCCTTTCAGTCACGTCCAACTCTTCGTGACCCCGCTTGGGGTTTTCTTGGCAAAGACACTGGAGGGGTTTGCCATGTCCTTCTCCAGGATGTTTTACAGATAAGGAAACTGAGGAATACAGGGATAAGTGACTTGCCCAAGGTCACACATCTAGTAAGTGTCTGAGGCCAGATTTGAACCCGGTAAGATAAGTCTTCTTGACCCCAGGCCTGGCGCTCTATCCACTATGGCGCCACCTAGCTGCCTCTTTCACTACTGAGTTCATGGTTACCATTTTCCCAAGATGCACGATGAACGTGAACTCTGGGTTGGTCCAATCTTGAAGCCAAACTTCATCATGCTGCTCTTAAAGCCAGAGTGGTGTAAATGGAAGAAAACTGTCCAAATTCTATGTATTAAGAGAAGTCCATGGATTAAATGTTAATTTCTTTACCAAGTTGAAAATTTTAATTATTATTTTTTAGACTACTGGTTACTGTCCTAGCAATATCACCTGCTTAGGCCCACAGGTGTAGAGCTGGAAAGGACTTCCTGAACCATCCTGCCCAACCCTCTTGTTTTCATCTGAGAGGCAGGGCAGCAGAGAGAGGACGTCCCAGGATGACGGGTGGAGAGCTGGGAAGTATCAGCTCTGGAGAGGAAAGATCACTAGGGCCAGGGATGTCAAGTTCAAATAGAAATGGGGTCCAACTAAATGGGATGTAGGGATCCCTGCGGGCCACATATTAACTTGGAAACCATGTATTCATATCACCTATATTCTACTGCTTTTGTATTTATCTCGTCAATATTTCCTGATTCTATTTTAAGCTGTACTTAGAAGTATTGCCCGCTACACGCAATATGTCTGATACCTCTGATCTAGCCCAACCCCCTAATTTTACAGATGAGGAAACTGAGGTTCAAGGTCACATAAAAAGTCAGACTCAGAAGGGGGATTTGAACTTGGATCCTCTAACTTCAGAGTCAGTGGTCTTTCCACTGCCCTATGACCCTTGCCATAAGATGTCAGGGAGAAAGGAATTTAGATAGATCTCATCCAGTTCACAACCGTCACTGTACAGATAAAGTACCTGAGGCCCGGAGAGTGTAAATGTGCCAAAGATCATATGAGTCTGATAGAACCTGGGGTTGAACCTAGGTCTCATGGCCCCAAAGCCAGGGTCCTTTCCAGAACCCCACAGAGTGAGGGCTCTGGAGTGATGGCACTGGTCCCCAAGGCTTTACAAACCATTTTTCACACCG